CATTTTGTCACTGCCTGCTTCAAGTTCCGACCGATGCAGCGCGGACAAAACTCGAGCTAAGTGATGCGAACGAAATAATATAATATTAAAAATCGCATCGCAGTCTCGCCAAATAGAAACTACTACTGCAGAGGACAGGCCAGAAACTGGAACATCTTTCTCGGCCGTGACTGATGACTGTGATTATGCCATGTTGCGACGTAGCATTACCATAATATTAGCAGTACGGCCGTCAACCAAGGTAAAACTGCTCCAAAAAATCACTGCTATTTGTCACAGTGACACGACTGGAGCAGTCACGTCTTGTCACAGTTCCATTAAAATCGCAGATTGGCCCACCTCTAATGGAAATATGTTTAATGTCCTATACCTACCTATTTTCAACTATTTCGGTAATATAGGCTTTTTACGTTATATTTAGGATGACGTCACATTTAGTAAATTTCTGCTGCAAACCGAACAAAACTGAAAGTACTTTTCAACGCATTTAAAGTAGGGCAATTTCAGATGTTTTTGGTTGGCAACGGCGCGCGACGTTGCATGATTTATATAAACATTTTCAAATAATGCGTGTCGATTCATTTCGTTATTTTTAGCTGTTAGTCGTCTTGATAATTTATTATCAACTATTTTGTATAATCCTAATTAAGTGCCAAAAATACGTTACAGTTAGAAAAAAGTTCTTTCAAGAATTCAGTACTTTTTCGTAGCGTAAACTTACTCAGAAAATGCCCGCAGGTTTGTCGGAGTCGGCCTCAGGAAAGGGTAGTATACTTAATAACGTATTTCCAGCAGGAACGCGACCGTTTTTGCTTCTTACTGCTGTGAGGCATGTAAGTAAATTACCTATTTTCCGTTTCGTTTGACAGAAAAGACCTATCTATTTTTACCTGGTATGCGCGCGCAACATGAGGTAAGTGTTTTTATTAGCTAACTAGTACAGGTGTGAAGTGTTCGTTTTGCACGCTGGAAATCTCCTTGTCCTTGTTCATTGTTCGTGGTCTGATGAAAAAGAAAGTACGGTTGATATTCAACTTGACGTTACTTGACAAGTGACACTCAAAAGTAGTTTGAAATGTTCATTGATAAATACGTTCACAACACGCGGTTTTTCTTCTTCTCTTTTTATCCCGTGCAAATAAGGAGGACGGATTGCCATACATAAGTTTAACAAAATTTGGTACATTTTTCCTCATCTTGCGCAATGAGCGTTCTGTGTTTTTTTTATCTAATGAAGTTTTCATATTATTACCTCTTTGTTTGGTAAAATAGATAGGTCTACTGTCACGTGACATTCTGATAAATTATAAGAAAAAAAATAGGCATTGACAACATCGTCTCTTTTTGTTCTATTACGTCATCCTAAATATAACGTAAAAAACCTATATCGACAGTTTAAAATTTACTTTTTTGCAACTTTAACAGGCTGTAAAACCTAACGGTTCAAAATTCTCCGTAGAATACAAAAATGCATTAATCTATAGGGCCCGGATTCCGACCCACGATTCGAGAGTATCGCCTATACAGGGTGTCCCACTAAGGTCGGCCAGGTCCGATATTATGGAAACCCTAGACCTTACGGCTACGGGATTTTTTTTTTTTTCACTAAATCGGCCAAGAGAAATTGATAGAAATTATTTTCAAGTTTCTTAGATGATCGCTAGGGGGCGCAATTACGATAATATAGTTAAAAATTCAAATTTTCTCAATAAATCGCTATATCAAGGTACTGGTTTTAACAACAGAAATCAAAAGTTCAATAATTTCTACGCCAGTATGGTTATTAGGCTTTTTTCGTATCTTCACTAATAAGGGTGGGGAAAAAATGGTTTTAGAAATTACTGTATCTTCCTAACTCATTCAATTTGAGCTTATTTGGAAGAGAATTTCATTGTTATTAAGAAAACCACTTCGTTCGGGGTCGATAGCTCCCACCGCGTCTTCTAGAGGGGCTGTTTATCCAGGATCCAGTTTTTTCTAATTTTCATGAAAAATCCAAATGGCAGGATATTATTTTTTTATTACTGTGCTTGAAGAGCAAAAAAATATCTACATTTTGGCGCAAACCGCAATTCAATATCTGCATTCGCTTTCAAGTTACGTAAAGTCTATGGTTTCCATAATATCGTACCTGGCCGACCTTAGTGGGACACCCTGTATAGATAGACGATATTATCAAATCGTGGGTTCGGAATGCGGACCAAGGGTTGCCAATTAAAATAACATAGTTGATGCAAGTAATACCACTTTGGGACACCCTGTATATTTTTTTCTCCAAAAAATGCGCAGCTTAAAAATAAAATTGAAGGCTCCGAGCGATTTTTCAAAAAAAAAAAAAGATGGTTCTCAAACCCCTGTAGGTGTTCCGTTCTTTTTGCCCACGCTGTATATACCCCTTACAGAGGAGCAGTATTCCATTAAATATTTTAAAATTATATTTTAGATATCCCAGGACCTTGATCAAATTAAAAATCAGATTTAATATTAAAAAATTTAACAATTTCTTAACGTTCTGAATTTCCCGTCATTTTGGGGTGGGGGGTGTCCTAATTGATGAAAGTCGGTGTACATTAGATCAGATCACTTAAAATGGTCTAAAAAACAGTTATACCAAATTTCATGCTTGTACCACAATTTGCCGTTTTTCGATGAAAATTGTCGCGAGCCGCTAGGACTATTCAGGATGCTCGTATATGAGCATTTTGACGAAATGTTCAAAGGGCTTGAAAACTTCCTTGATCGATTCATGTTTATTTTTTCTTGATAAAGGTGACAAACACCTAAACAAGATTATTAATTTCTGCTATTTAGTGAGAATAATATGATTCACCAAGACATTGTGTAACGTTTTCAATTTCTTGGCTAATAAGCTACCTTGTTTTGCCATACTGGATATGATTCCATATAGAGCTACAATGAAATAAATGAATAAACAACTATCTTTTTTGTGCCCAGATTTTGTTACTTTGAGTGCTGCCTTCTACTAGAAGTTTTTTTGGTTCAGGTTTGCAAGTTTGGTTAATTGATCTAGGAAGGTTTGATTCAGTACGGCAGGGCCCGCTGTTATTGATAAGAATCTTAGGAAAAGGAGTTAGTACCATCACCATCTCTGTTTTCAAATCCAATCAATAATCTGAGATTATGATAATAATTGTTGTTTTTTTGTACTCTTTGACTTTTCATTTCCATCATGTTATTGAACAGCTGTTTTGTCTAGGCGTTTTCTTTAGACCTGTTCTACCTTTTGATATATGTTCTATAGGCACTTTTCAACATTCACCAGTCATTTTTTACACAACCGATTCTCAGTTCGTACTTTTGGGGTGAAACTGAACACGTCTTTTTCTATAATTTTCTTCAATGTCAAAATTAGAAGTTTGACAGATGAAAGTCTTCTTCCGAAATCTAAATTCTAAATGAAGAATCTGCCCTTTTGATCTGCGACCTCACGCTGAGTAGTCGTCCGGTCTCGGGCCTCGGCCCTAATTGTTTTTGGGGCGAGACTTTTTGGAATTTTGTGCCAGGGAGCTCAAGTTTTAGACTAATTTCTTGCTGATAATTGTCTTGAGTCGTCCCTTGGTCATTTTTGGATTCTGTTTCGGTAAGTTTGAGATTTTCTTCAGGAAATATTAACCTACGACACGTGTTCCATTTTTTTTTAATAGGACTGTTCCGAGCAGCATTTGGAAGTTTAAGACTTCACCTTTGGTCTAGAGTATCCCTCAATTTGAGGTAAGATTATTTCTAATATTTGGGGCTCGATTTGTTTTTTTATACGAACATCGTTATAGGGTCCTAGTCTCAGGCTATAGTTGGACAATCCTACTCCTACTCCTAGTCTCAGGCTATAGTTGGACAATCCTACTCTCAGGCTATAGTTGGACAATCCTACTCTTAGGCTATAGTTGGACAGCTCCTAGAATGAAATTCTAGACTAGATCTAGATTGCCCTTAGTTGGCTTTGGTAGCCTCCCTTCAGCAACCCTCTTGGTAGCACTCTGGTTGAACCACGTCGAGTTCTACGTTAAACAGATACAACGTGGATAGGACTCATGACTCACTTACCATACCATAGTCTATCTACAGTGAGATCAAACCTGTAGATAATCTCCCTTCAAAACTTCTGGAGTTACACATACATTTGAAGATAACTAACACTTGTATCCCATGTAAGTTACACCTTTTACTATTTAGGCAAATCCTATGTAAATCACTTGATACTAAATCAGGTTCGGTAAGTGCCCCTTAAATAAAATTCTAGAATTTTACCCTGAGGTTGCCCTAACTATAACTTTCACCTTTCTGTGTTTAATTTGCCTGATGGTAAAGTGTAACCTATACTGTATTTTTCTTATCACGCACAAATGTAAATACCAAAAGGTTTTTAGTCATGTTTATTTAAAATTCATATTTATATATGCATTATTTACATTCATTCTTTTGATAATCAAATATTTATAAATTGGTACAAGCCATAATGTATACACATTTTTAATAACCTCCTGGCTATCCCTATATTTTATTATTATTTTTAATAAAGAAGCCAGATACATTATTGTACCTAATTAGTTGTTTTATTGATAAGCTCTCCAATTGCACAGGTTTTGTTTATAACATCATTAAGTTATCTTCCTAGTTAAGTCACAATTAACTTGGTAGCGCCCAAAGGTAAGATGTATACAAGGAACCCATAGACCCATGGCCTCCGAACTGAAGCTGACTAGCCGTAGCAGTATAATTAGGCAATTGCCAAAATAAGTACGTTATAATTGTTCATAATACAATTCCAGGAAAATCGCGATCAACCACTGCACTAAAAATAAAGTTGACTAAACTAGATAGTCACGACCTAATGGTGAATCAGAGAAATTTTCTACCATAATTTTTGTTAATACTTACCTGTATTTGTCTGCTACTAGGTCTCTTGTTCCTATTTTGTGTGGTCAAATTTTCACTTTTGATCAAAGAGGTAAACAATAAAACGCTCAAATACATATCACACTTTTTAATTTTTAAAAGTAGACCCTGCAGACACACTAATAAAAGTTCCAAATATTCTAAACAACCATCTTAAATTTGATTATTATAATTTTTTCTAGAAATTAGCTTATGTGCAAGAAGGAGAAGCGTCATTGTTTACACCAAGTAAGTATGTACCTAATAACTAATAGCAAAATTGTTTTGATAATCACAATTATACAATTTGTAAATTGACTATTATTGAAATTTTCGTTACGAGAAGTGCCAGATAATCACAATTACATCTTTTATTGGCCTAAATTTAGGTAAGTCTTGCGCCGCTCGATACTATCCATCGTCATCATTGAAATTTACGGGGAAGATTTTAGTTTTATAAATTATGACTGAGTCTTATTGAGTAGGTGTAAAGTAGCGTTCCACTAATTAATTTATGCCGAGAAAGTATGGAAACAGATCTAGCGGCCAAAACATATTCTTTCAGACCTACATATTTACAAAGCAAGATATGTTTGAATATAATTTTTTCTAATTATAATATATATATCACATCGTCTGTTCAATAAAAAATATTCTTAAAGCGTATTTACAGTTCAAGCTGAACTTTTTGGTCAGCTCACCAACTAAAACAGTATCTTCTAGAAACTCATTTAAAATACATTTTAAGATTTTTTTTTTAAATTTTATTATCATGAGCTACATTAATAATAATAATTATTTATTACAGTTTTTAAATTTCAGTTGCTTAATGCTTAATTTTTCTTTTTCATTCACGATTTAATTTAATTCTTAAATATACCCTTACTCTACACTTATTATTTAAACTACATATTTTTATAGATATTATACTGAGAGAAATGAGTTAAAGAATTAGCTACATTTCTGGATTGTCGATAACAAATGAAATGGGTATAACTATAATTTTTTAAGAAGACTACTTATAATAAATTTGAAAAAATATATTTTGTTTCTGCTTCTATTCTCTATTACTAATAAATGTATTTACGAATAATGGTTTGGGCCATGATATTTTGTGAGAATAATTGATACTGCAAGCCAATCGACAAGAAATAGATTTGAAATCTGTTGAAAGTAGATATTTAAAACTCAACAACAGTCATTTATTTCTCAATGAATCAAATTTGAAACAAAAGTAAATTCTGATTTAAATGTTTTCAACAAAACAGTAGATACTTACTATACATTTTTAAACGAAACCGTTTTTTGTCATTAGTTCTTATAGAAAATAGGAATAACACACGGTGTCCAAGATTCTACAGGGTGTATCAGGTATGAGTACAAATATTTTAACATGAGATAATATGGCCCATTTCAAGCTAAAACTGTCCTATTAACCATGGGTCAAATGTTAATATTTTCGAAGTTACCGCAGAATTTAAATTTAGAAAAATGTTAACAACGTGACAACATTGTGCAGGTATTATCTCTGCTAGGATATAAATGTAAATAAAACTGGTAAATTAAAAGTTTTTTTTTTTTGCACGGAGTTTATTTATTTCCATCTGTTTACGTTTTGGTTTGTTATTGGTTTGCAAATAATGTAAATAATAACTTGCATTTTTATCACTTTTCTAGTAAAAATAAAAAATGTGCCGTTTTATTAAGCTATGAATTGCACTCAATGACATTTTTGCACCAAACATTCAAGAGAAAAATCAAATAATACTTACTCAGCTACTTGCCAAATCCTTATTGTGAACATATTATTTTTTGTTAAAAGGTTCTCAAAACACTAAAATCAACACGCAGATTTTGTACACTCACACTTCTTGTATCACGCAATATTTGTAAAACGGGCACAATGTTCTTTCATCCGGTGGGTGCTTTTCTCTTGGGAAATCTTTCTCGGTAATTTTTGGGCTCTCGGGAACGGGCTTTAAGGCGTTTTCTGATCAAGTTCATTTTTGGTACACATATATAGGACGTCAAAAGAAATTTTTCCAAAAAAAATTTGACCTTGACTGTGACCGTCATCCTCACCTTGACCATCAAATTCACGTAAATGGCAGTTTAACGTGCTGAAAACTTGTATAGTGTTGAAAGGCATCTCAAGTAACCTATATACCGAGTTTTAGCCTTCAAGGTCATATACACATTCAGAGATACGGCAACTCCGCAGTTTGGGCTCTCGGGAACAGGGTAGAAGGCGTAGTCCGATTGAGTTCATTTTTGGTATACATATTTAGGCCGTAAAAGGTAACAGTTCAGTAAAGGTCCTTCAAAAAAAATATCATGCTTCTTCATTATAGATAGTTTAGTATGATCCCAAAATATTGTTTTATGATCGAAAATGTTGGCGCAAATAACTATAAATTGGATTTTATAAATATTGAATCAATCCTCTTCTCGACATTTGACACAGATCAATATATAATATCTACCTATTCTTATCAGCTTAATATCACAATCGCTCTGTTTAGCAGATAAAAATTTAATAAACGTAAAAAGCATCATGTGGTAGATATTCGAATGAAGAGAAGAGCTAAGTGTTCAAACCATTTTTTGAAAAAAACATTATTGAGTAATGATAAAGCGTATAATATCTACTGAACTTTTGAAATTGGTACACTTTAACCGACAATAACTGTGCTATATCGAAACTGATCAAAAATATGCAAACTAACCCGAACTTACCCGTCTTTGTACTGCGTGCTAGTCCCGTAAACCTATCTAATCGAGAATTACAAAATAATGCAAAACAACTCAACTTAACCCATTCTTGAAATGCATGCTAGTATCCTTGAACATTTTTATTTTATCTAGCTTGTCGCGCTTGGTTGTCGTTGTTAATCAGTACACTGTATCCAGTTTTAGATAAGTAATTAATATTCAATATCATGATGTTTCCTATTAAAAGTGTCCAAATTGGCCCACCCTGTACATAATTTCAGCACGATAAATAGATATTTACGTGAATTTCACTGGTCAAGGTCACGGTCAAGTTCACGGCCAACGGCCAAGGTCAATTTTTTTTTGGGGAAATTTCTTTCAGCTGCCTTTATATGTATACCAAAAATGAACTCGATTGGACTACGCCTTCTAGCCCATTCCCGAGAGCCCAAACTAAGAATGCGGGGTCGCCGTATCTCTGAATATGTATGATCTTGAAGGCTAAAACTCGGCGTGTGGGTTATTTATGATGCTCTTCGGCGCTATACATAATTTCAGCACCATAAATTGATATTTATGTGAATTTCACTGGTCAAGGTCACGGTCAACGTCGCGGCTAAGGTCATTTTTTTCTTGGAAAAATTTCTCTCAGCGGGCTTTATATGTATACCAAAAATGAACTCAATCGGAGTATGCGTTCTACCCTGTTCCCGAGAGCCCTAATCATACCTCTTTCTCTAGTTTCCCTGTAAATTTTGGCAGCTAAATGAGCATTTTGTAACGATTCTGCCTAAACAAATATCTGCATATTCGACGTTTGTATAAACATTTTATTTAAAAAAAAAGGAATTTGAATTACGCGGGTTTCCCAGCTAGACACGACAAATCAAGAATCAATTTATTCAGTTCTACCAAGATTCAACGTCAACCACCTATTCTTCATTGTGCTATGTTGCCAAATGTTTAGATACCGATTTCAAGTGAAATTTTTATGTTGTTTTTTGAATTTTTTGTTATTGTTGTTGACTAATAATGCATAATTACTTGATAATTGAATAAACTAAAATTTTTTACATCTCATAATGATTAAAATTTTCTTTATCTTTGAAATATTTGTCAAAAAATGTCAAAACTTCAAAGGCCTTTTTCTTAAAAATGGTTGAGTTTGGACCCTATGTTGTATAAGCTTTTTTTGTTAAAAATGGGCCATATTTTCACGTGTTAAAATTTTTGTAGTTAAATCTGATACACCCTGAATAGTACCTATATGTGGTAAATGAGCAAGACGGTGCAATATGCACAAAGTGTTATTTAAAAAAAAAAATGAAAAAACCATAAAACGTGTAGAAAGAATTGATAAATATAAATATCCGAGACATAAAAAAAATCAGATTTGTTAAACGTTAAAGCTAGTGAGGGATTTTTTGTAATGAAAATGCGAAAATTGCCTCATTCGCTCTTGATCATTCTTGAAATAAGAGTATTCTTGACGCAAAATTGAATAAAATGTCTATATCCATATTACTGTATAGCCAGAAAACCAATATCTGCTTCCCATTTACAACGATACCTTGATTTAAGAAAGTATTTTTTAAATTTAAAGTCTTGTGCCAAAACCACAACAAAGATAACTGTCTTTTCACAAAGTTATTTTTATTTTTTATTTTTGGAATCTGCAATTAACGAAAATAAAAACACTATGTCACCATCAAATATATTATACTAAATATCAACAGGCCGAAGGTTAGGGTTTCTTTACTTTGGCTGGAGGAACTTTTAACTGGAACAAAAGAAATAGGCACTGTTTATTGGTTTAATTTTAACGAAAAGAATATCGACCAGAAAACTTTAATTTTTAATATGCATGATGATAACTCACCCAATAAAAGCGCCTCTCTCATATCCCTCATAACTGGCAAGCTTTTAACTACAGTCTCGGTATCCTCACTAAAAAGTACTGGAGCTATCGATGCTACGCACTTCACCTTCATTGAACCCCCTAGGAAATGGCGATTGCTAAGAGTAAATCTTAGACCTAGCGTAGTGGTGACTAGACCTTTCGCATGATGTTCCGTAGGATATTGCATCAGTGCTTCTGGTTTTTGGATCTGGAATAATATCAAACTCGATTTTTTTTAAATCCACAGTTACTTTACCTTTAATATTACAAAATAAAAATAGGTTAGCACCTGTTGTTCATTTATGTACCAATGGAGTATCGACGCCGGACGGCTCCGTCCTGAAGTGCAATTTAGGTTTATCTCGTCGCCGATCTGATATTGTTCCTCGACGCCGGAAATTATCGGATCTTCTTCCGGAAGTGCTGGAAAAAGATACTTTATGAATACAGCGATTTTATTTTGAGGCAATTGGATATAAATATGGTTAGAAAATACACAAAATGTCTATTTAACCTATTTTTCTAGTCAACTTTTAGCGCCGGAGCGGAGTAATACAAATTTCAATAATACCGAACGAATTTTCGTGGTAGGTACCATTAACTTTTTGAGAAACGATGTCATGTAGGAGGGCGTTCACAAATCCATTAGGGCAAATATAAGTTATAAAAATAAATATTTTCGAAACTTTATTTTTTCCACAACTTTAATGTCACGTACAAATTTGATCTAGAGTACTTTGCGTTCCGATAAGGGGAAAAAAAAAGCTAATGTAGTTTGTAGATTAAGATCCATCAAAACATAATTTGCAACCATTTAGACACATACAGTTCAGGTTTAATCAAATTTTTAAAATAAATTTGAGTTAGTAGTAACAAAATATCTAAAATATCGTACTCTTAAAAGAAACCCAGTATTCTTTGTCAAAGTTGTTAACATAAAAACAAGACAACTCTCCAGAAGTGACAAATTAATGGTATGCCATTTAAAATATTCTGAAGCCCAAGATATACAGTCGCAGAAATAAGAGCTTTTTCACCTGATGAGAAAACTTTACGAGGCGGCTGTAAGTTAAAACGTTAAAATGGAAAGTTTTAAACGGTAGGTTCCTATTTCGGGTTTCTTATTTAAAGGGGAAGTTTTTAAATTATTGTCTTGATATCTTTCCTTCCACCAGCAATGTACGGTGGGACCAGAAATAGACATTGGATATAACAAATTCAAATAGCTCAAATGGCTTCATTCAATTTTTTATTGGTTATTATTCATCTGCAACAATGATCGATTGGCAGTAATGAATGAATTTCCATTATTAATTATTTTATTTCAGAGTAACGAATAATTTCAATTTCAATTCGATTCCATTTGTGCATGCACATGGGCCAAGGAATATTCTGCATGTAGAGATAAATTATTGCTTTTTCTACCCTTCATTGCAATTTGTAAAATTATGGAAAAATATACCTAATTGTTTATTTAAAAAAGTAACATTGATGGCTGCCAATTTGTTTAAGAGTTCTATTTTTAAAATTCTCTCTCTAAAATAACCTACATTAAACAGAAAAGAGTCATTTTACACAGGAGAGACATTTCAGTTTTCCAATTGACTTACCTACTATCGTAAGATATCCCTTTCAGCTATATGAATCCAAATCGCTTGATACTCTAGAGCCTTAACTTGGCCGAAGCGAAAAATCCTTGAGAAAATCCTGACGTTTTATTTTTTTTTTGCTTTAGAATTAAGTACCTTACGTTTCTCTACCGCAAGATGCACCAAATTTATTTACAAACAGTACCCTACTTGTTTGTTAATCGACAATCAATCTTCCACAAAAATTTAAATTAAATGAGACGAAAAAAATATTCAGTTTAAAAAAAAAAAAAAAAATTTTTAACATAAAACTTTGTGAGGTACCTAAATGCAGTTTCCACGATAAGTCAAGTTAACAGGTTGAGTGCCACCGTCCAGTATACTGGACAGAAGGGTTTCTTGTAAGGGCCCACGTCCAGTAAACAGGACGCTACTAAATACCATCTAGAATAGATGTTAAAAATGCGGGATAGGTCAATAACTTATTTTCCATGAAGCGGGCCACAACAGAAGTTTAAAATTTCAGTTTTTGCTTGATCTTATCATTTCTTGATTATGTTCAGTATTTATTGGAATCTCCTTTCATTTTTATTATTTTTATAAACTTTGTTTTCGTTATATGTTGTCTTTTCTATATTATATTCAGTGTCTATTGGAGAATCCGTGAATTTTTAATATTTTCAGAAACATTCTCTTAATTATTGACAACAACTATAAATGTTAATTGATATATGAATATGTCCAGTATACTGGACTGGTGGGATATTTTGGTTACGATTATTAAAATATACCGATGTCCAGTATAATGGACATTCACCTACAGCTGTTAAATTGACAGATATCTTACATTGGATGTTTAAACAATGTATCTGTATAATAAATGAATTTGAAATACTATTATTTGGTTATGGGCCCAGGGAGAAGTTCATTCGATTTACCGTGGCACTCAACCTGTTAATAGTAAAGGTTTTTCATTGTTTACCAATATGCAGCTGAAGGGTAATTATAAAAGATGTTAGACAAACCGGAAAATATGCATGAGAAAAAAAAAATAGTAAAAGCCTCTATCCATGGCTTCCCTCAGCAGATCATCCCACCCTTTTTTCGATAAATATCAAAATTACAAAATTCCAATCTTGTAGAGCAGATGAGCCTACAGTTTCAAATTCGAACTATTCTTCTAAATAATTTTGAAAATATACAGAGGAAAACTACCTATTTAAAATATTATTTCTTCAAATCTTAACTTTTTAAAAAAACGTTTACTGAATAAAAATAAATGTTACAGCCTTGTATGCGCTGTGAAGCGTACTGAAAGGGTACCAAACGGAACGGGAGCTAGAGAAGAGGCGATTAGGCATTAGAGAGACTAGAGAACAAGCTGGGGCTGGTCCATTAGACACGTATCGCGTGTCTGTAATTATTCATTATTCAATTTTTATTTTTATTTTGCAATAAACTGATTGTTCAATCCAATTTGTTATTAGTGTGTGTGTCAAGGAGCGATCACCAGGTCAGTTAGATAATTATTATTTTGTTTGTGAGAGTTCAATTTATACAAGAATCATTTTTTCCATTTTTATGTTTTTTTGTTTGTTTATAACATTTTCTTTATAACATGTGCATTGTTCATGTATTTAACAAAAATCGTGCTGTAAACAACACAGATAAAGAAGTAAATTACCTAAGAAATTATGTGCTTTCTTTTTGTGCAGAGATTTTGATTTTGTGTATTCAGAACGTGCATTAGGGCCTTGTTGAATATACTAACATTTTCCTACCCTGACGAGAGAATATCCTAGCAAATTGAGAAAAATCAATCTAGAGATATTGGCTCAAAAACAACTATAGCTGGGTAGCATCCCGTATGGGACTTCAGTACCTTCCGGCAGACTGGCTAACTAACAAAAACTCTTCAGTATTGATTATAGGTAGTGTTGATTGAATGTAGTGCGTGTAATTGAAATTTTAGCACAAGAATAGTGGCAGTATCTAATTTACAATTTCATTGACTTAAATTATAGATTTATTGACTCACAATTATTAAAATTACACAGTATGTTTCGATTTTTGAATCTTAGATCGAGGGTTTCTCTGTCGTGCTCTTTCCCCTCGTTAGTTCCAGGATGAGAACGGTACGATTTACTTAAATAATAAAGTAGAAGTTTCACATATTTTTCGTTTTTTTTTACATATCACAACTTCCCTGAAATTTCCCAAATATTTGCTATGTCGGGCGCATGTCCAGTACGTAAAATTGAGTAAGTTTCCACAACGTAGGTCCTATTTGTTTTTCATTTCGTTTTTCAGAAGATTTGTTGTTTAAAAGGCAATGAAAATTCTCATCATTCAATCTTACTGAACGAACCTGGGTATGTTATACTACAATACGACAAAATATTTTTGATCACAAAGGGCTTCATATCTTGAAAAGACATATAAAATCGACAACAAAAACGTATTGCCACGGCTCTCGCGTGCGTGGCAGAAATCTTGGGTCCGTTTATTCCAAAATCAAAGTCCAATTAACACAGCAATAATTTATTCCAGTTACTATACACTCTGACACTAATTACTTCACTTAATAACTCGAACAACTTAACTCTTTACAACTCTTAACAATATTCACTATCTAAATCGTATAACAGCCAAACTTAAACTTAAAACTACTAACTAAGACCGGCCTTTATATATCCGTGAATCTATTCCAATGTGAAAAAATGTCCTCGAGGTCAATTTTTCACGTGAATAGGTACAATATTTCCCTTACTATCGAGGAGAGTAAAAAGAATACACCAAATATTGCTGGTTTTCCACAAACACCTATAATAAAACATTCGACGGCAATTGAAGCAGTTTCCTTCGCTCTATAAAGATAGGAGCAGATAGGTTGATCAGAATCAGTTTAGTCAAAGTTCAGTAAAGTTAAGAAGATTTGGGGAAAGCCATACAAGCTGTCCGAACTACTTATTCTAAATTCCAACAAACTTGTGTATTGGGGTTCAAGAAGTTTTAAGTTGTGTAGGCTATAGGATTTATAAATCAATAAATACACTTTTTTCCTAACAGTTTCAACCAAGAAAGAAGGAATTTGTAATGGTGAGCTAAATAAACGTTATTATTTTGATTAAATTATATGGAAATAGTTCTTCTGGGAAACCTGCTTTTGTTATGTTTAGGCTAAAAAGATAACGGGCAATTCTCGAAACTTTCCAATATAAGTATATTGAAGTCGCTTGTTTCGTTTGTTATAGGTATACTTTATTTATTTCCTAAAAATTGTTAGAGAAAGAGATACGGTAATTCCAAATTAGAACATTATAGGTATTCGAAATACACTACAAAAGTAAAACGAAACTAATGAAAAATACTTCCGCTTTGAAACAAGAGACTTCATCAAAGCAAAATGGCGACCTTTGCGCGACCCCTGAACAAAAAGCTTTTGCACCTGCCGCTAATTTAAAAATAATGTGTTATTATTTCGAGGGCTGCCTTTATTCTGACGGAAAACCTTGCATGGTCACACGAATTTCCCTTAACACAAAACAAAAAATAATATGATCGGTCACTTTCGAGGTTAATAACGGTGTATTACACACTTTATTCGACGAAACACGAAAACCTATTTGCTTTTCTTGAATTCTAGTTTGAGTACAAAAATATGTTCTTATTGTTACGTTAGCGGGTTCGTAGTTATGTAAGTATCCTTTTTCCGAACTTTTATTTTGTGCAAGACAATAACACTAGAATCATAACATTCTACTTAAATTGAACAAACAAAAGAATCATCTTTCTTGGATTTCAATCTATAGAAAACAGAATAATTCATTTATC